CCCGGAGCGATAATGCTTGCTTCGGCTGTTGAGAGGGGTACTTTGGCTTTTATATTATCGACGTTACCCAAATACCCAGTGTAGGTATTTAAAACTAGCTCCATCTACTAAATATCGAACGCTTACTTCCTGGAATTTCTCATGCGCCCCAGAAACTCAAGAAACCATCCCACTCCCCACTCCCGGTCGCTTGTTGAAATGAGGAGGCATGGCATGAGTTTATTATTGTGGTTTCATCCGATTGGCCACACTGCGACGCGCTGCCGGGTAACGGTGCGCCAGCGCTGCGCGCCCGGTCCTCCGTGTGCCGCGGCCGCGGGGCGGTAGTGTGCTGCAGTGGCTGTCACACGATTCCGAAATCGTGTGAACTAGCGGTGGGCGTAGCCACGGCAGCGCTCACCTGCCCGCTCCGCACGACACGGCACGCCCCCCTCCGCTTCCCCTTTCCCCTTCCCCATACAAAAAATTAAAGAAATAAAATTATGATGCGCACAGGATATTTTAATGTGCAGCTGGAACAAATTCCAACAGCCCCCCCTCAAACCACTTCTTATTTTCCCACATTTAATTAGCTACAATTAGTGCACCCCCACCCGTGAGGAGCTATATTTGCGGTATAAACTCCCGGCTACCCGCGTCGGCACTCCAGTCGTTTTCCTGCTTGATCCTCGCGCACTCCGATCTCATTCCGCATTCCCTTGCGCCCGCTGGCGCCCCCGCCGCGGCCCATCCCGCCCGATCCCACATCATCCCGTCCCGTTCTGTCCCGTTCCCACACGTGCATTGTGCGGGCCGCTGGGAGCGGAGCAGAGCGGAGCGAGGCACCTCAAGGAGCCGCTGGAGGCTGTGGACCTGCATGTCGGCACGGGACGGGCGGGACACCTCATCCCGGCGGCCCAGCCCCAGCTGGCTGGACCAAGGGGACGACAACTGGTGTACTCCTGTGTCTGGGTATTTTGGGGTATTATGTCCAATATTATGGGGTATTATGAAGGTATTATGGGTCCCGTGTACTGAGTATTATGCGAGTTGGAGACCCCTCAGGGCTGACGGTACTCCGGTGTACTCCACGTACTTTGAGTGTACTCCAAGTTCACTCCACGTACTGCGTGAGTACTCCTCCTGTGTCCCACCCAAAGTTTGAGTCGTCGAACCCTTGGGTACAGTCTGGCGCAGGGGGCCATCTGGCACGTCTGCATTCTGCGCGCTGCACGCGACGCGTGCGTCGGTCCCCCTGCTGCAGTATGCTCTCCGGGCGTCAGTGAAAGCTGAGTTAATTGTGTGACTCCGCAGCCGCGGCTCCGGGCCGAGCGGCCGGCGCATCACAAACAATAAAAGCCGCCGGCTCATCGGCTGAGCCCAGCTGCCCAGCCGTCCAGCCCCGGCCCGGCCGCGGTGCGTCAGCAAACTGGCGTCGCGTCACGCGCTCGAGAAAACCAACAAAATATTTGGGTCGGGGTGGACAGTATCGCACGGGCCAATAGCCACAGCCACCAGCCCGGAGAGAGGAGGCCGCGCCGCCGGTTGCACGCTGGGCCGTTTTAACAAAGTCAAAACTCCTAACTGCTTTTGCCGCCAAACCAAAAGAGTTTCGATCTGCTTTTCGGCGATGGAAAGTCAGGCATCTTTGGAGGGCCATAGCTCCTCGGCAATTTTGGACATACGCAAAATGAAAAGACTTGCATGTTCCCGAGTCCTTTACGAATGTGTACACCCTAATATCCATGCCCCACTCCTCTCAAGCTTTGAGATATCATAGAATTTATGCGGAACGGTCGACGAACACCAAAAGCAGATCGTGTTTTATTTGTTTTGTTTTTTCGTTTCTTTAGGTAATGATGATACCTTACACTTAGACTAAACAAAACTATACATTAGTACAGGAAGGTTTTATCGGCTTTAACTCTCAATAAAGAAATAATAAGGAGAACCAATAGCAAGCTCATATATTGCGTTAGGCGGGGACGGGGAGGTGCCTTACTGACTGGTGTCCCGTCGCGTCGCGCCACGCGTTGTTGAGCCGACCCGAGCCGGGCCGAGACTTGAGCCGAGGCTCGAGATTAGCGCCTGCGAGACTCAGGGTAGACAACCCCGCCGTACACGCATGCATAACACACAAGATGTTGCCTACCTAGCAGGCGCTTTGAGACCTTGGCAATTTTGTAACGGCAGATGACGGACGCAGTTTCTGCTCCTCTAATTTTTGTCCAACGACGAGTTTATCCCTCAGCACAAAATTAATTTAGCGTTTTTTGTCTCCCTTGTTTATAAGTGCCCCCCCCCCCCCTGGAAAAACAAAGGTGCGAATCCCTATCTTTAAAAGGCACTAAATGTGACCTTTCACACCATTAGCTGGCTAGCTTCATTTGGAAAGGTGCGAAACTTTAGTGCCCCAAAAAAGGCACTAAACTGCGAGCATAACTTTACTGCCCCGGGAAAGGTGTTTGTTTAGTGCCTTTGTTTTACCAGTGCCCTCATTTTCTGCTTTCAGAGGGCTATCGAGCGGGCTTTTCCAAGTGACCTGGCGTCAATCCGTTTGTCTATCTGTGTAAGAGGGAGATGAGCTAGTGACTTTAAATTTTGAGTGGCATAGACCCTCTCGGCCGGCAGTGCTGATGATATCCAACACTGCCGTCAACCGACGACGGAGAGAACCGGGGCCCTCGACCAGACCATAACACAAATGTGCAAAACTGTCCCTGACTGTGTGGCGCCTGTATCCCTCGTCGGAGAAAACGCCTCTCCGGGTCTGGAGACAGACAGAGGACAGCCTGTGTGCGCACGCTCCTCCTAATCTCGAGCGCCACGCCTCGTGCTCTGTCTGAGGGGCCCGGGCGCAGGGCGGGCTGGCGCAGGGGTGGGTGAAAGTGGTGACACGCACACACGTGAGCCCGCCGAGAGGCCCGCCGCCCAATGGCTCCATGACACTCCGCAGGAGCAATTTCGCGCGTCGCTGCTCCAAGGGAGAAACGGATAAGTCACGGCGAGGCGTGGCGACAAGGGGGCAGGGCGGTGCTGACTGGGCCTTCCTTCCCTTCTTCTAAGTGTTACTCTGGTCCCCAGGATGACGCGCTGGCCGCTGCTGGCGCTGCTGCTGGTGGCGAGATGTGCCGCCGTCGCCGCCCAGTCCGAGGCCCTCGACATGACGCAGGCCGTGTTCGGCAAGCTGGGCTCCAAGCCGTCCTCGCCCAAGCTGACGCTGTGGACGCCCGGACACCTCGACGACCTGCACGACGCGCTGCTGCAGGGCCGGCCGCTGCGCGCGCAGCTCAGCGCCCTGCCCGAGAGCTCCGCGCCGCGCGCCGGCACGCACAAGCTGTCCCTGTGGGTGCCCCGCGGCCAGGAGCACCAGGCGGCCGCCGCGGCCGACGAGTGGCAGGTGAGGGAGACGAGAACCACAGCGGCGGGCAGGACTTTCATCTCAGTGACCGCCTTTGTCCCCGCGCGCGCTCCGCCGGGGCTCGGCCGGGAGCGCCACGCTCCGCGGACTGTCACCTAATTGCGCTCTCCCGCGGCCCTGGCCCGGCCCTGCGGCCCTTATGATTATTGGCCTGGAAGTCAGCGGCCCGTGTCTTGTTTGGTGAACCAGTTCCAGGGCAGCAGGCCGCGCCGGGCCGGGCGGCGGGCCCTGCCGGCCGGCAGGCGTCGCGGCGCTGCGGCGAGCACGCCAGCGCAGATCAAACAAAAGACACACGAGCGGCCCGCGGCCCGGCGCGAAGCCCGGTCCCGCTGCGGGTGAATAACCGGTGCCGGAGCTGCGCGGGCCACGCAAGGTCGAACGACGTCACCCACGCGAGCGCACTATTTTGAATTATCTACCATTTTACAGGATGGCTGGTCCGACCGCTCCGCCGTGGTGGTGCGCGAGGCTGCCCAGGACGACGTCGACGGTGACTTGGGCGCGGACGCCGATCAAGACGAGGACGGAGTCGCCATGTCGCCGTCGTGGCTGCGCGGCGCCCTGGGTGGGCGTGGCCTCGCCGACGGCCCGGACAACGGCCTAGCGGGCGGCATCCCCGGGCACCAGGACGCCGCCGCGGCCGCCGCGGCCGCCGCCTCCCCGAGCGGGTCACTGGGGCACTTCCGGCGCAGGCGGGCCGCCTCACCAGGTGCGTGCCGCAGCGTGCCACATCATGCGCGCCGCGACCAGACTTGGTGGAGCATGCCATTTCCGCCGCCGGGTCGGGTTCCGCCCCTCAGACTGCCGATTCATGGCGCGTGGTGACACACCGCTCCGCTCGGCTGCGAGTTTCTGGCGGCAATTCATGGCACTTTCATCAGAAGATAACGAACGTGATTTCCTAGAGGGGTTTATTTTGCATAATACCCTGTACACCTAACCTGGGTACTATACGATATTACGCCTAATGTAATCTCGAAAAATGTCAAAATAGTATTTAAAATTGTAAAATTTTGCATGGAATACCGGCGTAATATCGCGTAATGTAGTGTAATATGGAGTAGCCTGTACATGTTTTCTTGGAGTAATCCCCACTCGGCCCCTTCGGCGGTTTCGTTGAATTTCGAAAAACTATTATTTGATCCAGGAAGCGGAAGAAGGGATTAACTGACATAACTCCAAACTGAGATTTTTAGTGGCCGTTAATCTACAGTAAAACTGGCACATTTTCCGAAAAAACTGTTTGCCTACGTGCCATAGTTCCTGAGATATGACGGAATGAAAAGTAAGTCAAGTAGACTTATCCCTTTTTACCTCTAGGCTTTACTTGAATAAGGAGGCAAAGCGAATTGACCCTTTATGAATGATATAGCGTTTAGAGATATTTGACCGATGAGATAAATCCTTTTGTAAGAAATTGAAGGACTTGCCTCCAAACTCCATTAATTTTTTAGGAGTAACTCTACTTATCTCACTTTACGCAAATTTTTATGGGAGATACATTTTTAAAATCTAAATAGGGTCGATATCAAATATTCTACCCTCGCCATTTTATCAAGCAGTCTTCAAAGAATAAGAATGATAAATAAATAAAAGTTCAGAACTTTTCTGAATTTGTAGCGTAAAACAGTTTTTTGGTGCTTCCTGAAAACTATTGTGGTTTTGCAGTTATCCCCTTCTTCCGCTTCCTGGACCATTTATGTATACGTTGTGTCAGTGCCGCGACACAGAAGTATGCAGGTTTGCCCACTCGCTCCCTCCGTCCGGTGCCACGGTAGGCTACGCAAACCCGCAACACTGTTGAGTCGTAGCCAGGACACACAGTTTACACTATGGTTTCTGAATGAAGCATTCCGGTGAAGTTGAAATGCAGAAGAATGCAGTGAACAAGAAAACGGAAGTCATACCATGTTGAAGCATGGCGATTTCCGTTTTCTTCTTCCCCGCATTCTTCTGCATTTCAGCATTACCGGAATGCTTTAGAAGTTTAAAGTACGTTCAGTTATGTTTGATATTATTGATATTCTTTGTATACACGGCAGGACCCAACGAGGCAAGCAGCGAGGACGCCTCCGTGGCGGCGGACAGCAGCAAGAAGGTCCCTGGACCGCCGCCGCAGCAGGCCAAGGCGGCGCGCAGCCACCAGTTCATCACGGGCCGCAGCGAGAAGGAGCCGCCGCCCGTGGTGCGCGAGGTGGAGGCGAGTCAGCACGAGGCCAAGCCCGACGGCAGGGCCGACGGCAGGGCCAACGTCACGCCCCCGCCCACGCACGCGTCGCCCGTCGCCGCCGGCTCGTCCAGGGTCGGGGCCGGCAGGGACGCCCTCGGGCTGCGCGTCAACGAGATCCCCCAGGGCCCGAGGTAAGGACGAGTGTGCGCTACAGATCGTGATACGCGCCAGCAGTAACGACAAGGTTCCCTAGAAAGTCCCTAGAAGTATAGAAAGTCCTTGAAAAAATCGAGGGGGCCTCAACTCCGGCAATCTGGTGTGCACCCACCCCGGCAATCTACGATAATCTTCTGCAATCTCTAGGTAATCGGCTGCGAAGGCCATGCTTTTTGCCTACATTCAGGGTGATGTTAGTGCGTTTTGCCTAGTTACAGGCGGTTTATGCCCTTAAAGCTAAATATTCGTCAAGCAATCTGGCAATCTTGGCAATCTGGTGTACATCCTACAAGAGAGTTGAGGCCCCCTCGGAAAAAATATGGTCCTGGAAAGTCCTGAAATTTGGTTCAATCCTGGAAAAATAAAATTTCTAGAACTACATGGAAATTTTATTTTCAACAGAAATTCGCGTTAGTTTGTGATGCGGCCACTTAAGTATGGCCTGGATTTTAAAATTATTTTTAACAGTTTTATCGTTAAGTCTCACGAGTGTGTAATATTTCACTGGCCATAATTTTGGAAGTTTAGTCCTGTAAAACGCCAAACGATCCAAAACGTGGAAACCATGAACAAGCTCAGTGCCTCGCCCAGGTACTCGCACGTGTACGAGTCGGAGACGCAGCGCCACGCCGCGGACCACCGCCACTACACGGCCGACAACTACGGCAGCCACAACTCGTACGCGCACTCGTTCGGCGGCAACTACGGCAGCAGCGCCAGTGCCGCCTCCGCCTACCCGTCGGCAGCGTACCCGCCGCCGCCGCACAGCCGCAACGCGCCCACCGCCACGCCCAGGAGGATCATCTACTACGCGTCACTGCCCGACCCGGCCCCCGCGCCACACCTGCAGCAGCAGCTGCTCCAGCAGCAGCAGCACCTGCCGCTGCCGCTGCCCGGATCGTCCCGGGTGCCACACGAGTACCGCGGCCCGCCCTACGACATCAACGGGGCGTACTCGTCGGACGGGCGCTTCCCGCCACCGCCAGCTCCCGCCCAGGGTCCCGCCAACGACAATCTGTACAGGTAATGAGTCTCGCCGACGTTCACGTTGGCCCCTCCCTTCGCCCTTCTGTTAAGGTGATACAGGACTGAAACTGGAAAAGTCCGTCAAAAAAGCAGCTATTTTGAGTTTAAAATCAAAATGCGAATTAAATCAAGAAAAAGCTCTCTATTTCATTCTAAGTTAGTTTATTGCGGTTCTTTTAAGGTATAATAAGTATATTTAAACGTAACTGTTGTCGCGACACGTTTTTTATCTTCAAAAAACTTTAAACTCAAAATAGCTGCTTTTTGACGGACTTTTCCAGTTTCAGTCCTGTATCACCTTAACAGAACTGATTCGAGCACCACCACTGACGCCCTCAGGTACACCATCATCGACGCCGAGCCCCCAGGACCGCTCCTAGGCGGCTACCGGCCCAATGCGCTGCCCTACCGGGACAGACTGCCGGCTGCCTCCCCAGCCCCCGCCGCCTACCCGCAGCCCTACCGCATCAACCCCCCACCCCCGTCTCCCAGCACGGACGCCGGCCCGCAGGCTGCGTCGCCGATTCAGTACACGCAGTACGACTACAACGGCATTGGTATGTCCACGATCTAAATTATGCGGCTGTGTCATCGTTCGCTTTCAATGGAAACTTTTAACTAATAACTAAAAACTCTTCAGAGTTAATAGTTGCTTTACCTATGCTCGTGAAATGTATTTGTCCGCCAACTGCTTCTGTGTAATTGTTTTGTAGTGTTCTTCTTCTAGAGATCTTTCTTTTGAGTACTTTTTAGTCTTTCTGATCGTAGCTTTCATTGCGCCTGGCCGGCTGCCACCCTTCTCCTTGAAGTAGCCCTTCTCGTCCTCTTAGCAAACGCAATGACTTACCCATCTTCCCTGTCGACCAAGTCTAACAAACTGGCCACCTGCCTTTACTCGCCTTCTAGCCTGCTCAGCACACGCGTGCTTGAGCAACGGTCAGTATCACGCCAGGCGTGCAGCGCTCGCTGGTTTGAACCTGCACTCCTCTCGGGCTTAGAGTAGCGTTGGTGGACTTCCCTTCTGCTGCCTGCCTGGTCACCGCAGTGCTTGTGTTGCGCACGTAATATCTGGTTTGCTTGTGGTTGCGGCGTGCTGTACGGTCCCAACAGGTGGCCTGCCCCCTCACTTACCTGACGACCCTATGTCCGCGTCAGGCGCGCGCACCGCCAGCTCGTCTGCCCTGGTGGACTCCAAGCAGGGTGTCGTCCAGGGGCTGCCGCCGGGCGTTCCTCTCAGCGACGATCCTTACCGCGGCTTCAACCCGCGCCAGCCCGCACCTTGGTCCATGCAGGTGAGCGGAAACTGTCTCGCACTGCAGTAAGAGAGGTTGAATATCTCTCGTCTATAAAGACATTAATTCGGTGCGAACTTCGTTGAAATGAATATAATAAGGATGTGTTCTGTTTCTCCAGGTCGGCACTCGCCTCACGGTGAAAGACGACGGCTACGGCAGCTCTGGCGGGGGTGGGCAGGGCGGCCTCCCCCCAGCGGCCCGGCGCTTTTACGTAACCAGCCAGCAGCAGCCGGGCTACGGGGAGCCAGCGTACGCCCCTGCTTACGCCCCCGCGTACGCCCCTGCGCAGGCAAGGTTTCCACGGCCGCTGGACAGGGGTGACCGCTCCAACAGCGCTCTCCAGAGGTCGGAGGCGAGAAACCGACTGTTCCGCTGAGCGCGACCAGCAGAACAGCTGACGCGGTGTGCTCAGTGTGTGCGCTTCAAAAGTTCAGAAGAGTGGGGGCGAGGCTGACGATCACGTGCGCAACGAGATGAGTCAGTCTTCCCTTAAGGAAAGGAAAACACCTGTGAGACAATAAGGAACTCACAATAAAGTCAGCGGCAACGAGCAATGTTCTCTGTCCGTGATGATGCAAAGATAGAAAGACATCGAACTGTCAGGGCGGTGGCGGCAAAGGGAAGACTTGCGTGTAGAAATGATTGAGGGCGGTACTCTTTGACATTTATGAATTAAGGACTTGGTGTGATTGAGGAAGTACTATAGCATACAGTGCCGCTTTAAGACTGAAGACCAAATAATATTTGTCCTCAAAGAAACCAAAGACATTCATAATCTCCATGCTTTAGTAAGGTTTGTCTGGTTAATACATTTATTATTTATTGGTAGGTTAACTCCATTAAACATGCATGTACATAATAAATTGATTACCATCCTGGTTGATAGTAAACCATTTGAAAACAATATACCATTGTATTCTATTTTTTTAATGTAAACCTTTTTTTCTTTGAATTACCTTGTTTTAAGAGATTTAGTTACGATAAAAAGGATATACTGCTGTGTAAAATAACTTTTAAAAGGCTACATAGGACAAAGAGCGTTCTTTTCCACAACCATGTTACGAGGTTATTACGGGTGAATTCGCTCATATCTTTCTTCTATACCTTATATTATTCTCTACCTAAAGCGAAAAGTTCCCAAAGATTCTATGTCTGATTTTCCAGCCTTAGCTTCCTAAACATTGCACCTCTTCCATGTAGCTTGACCACAAGTTATGCTTTTGAAATTTACTCAATGCAGTGCTGCACTGATCGAATGTGTCAGCCAGAAAGGCTTCACCTAGTAGAACGTCTATAGTTGGTCATGGTCGGTCTTGGTCTATTTTCGTACACAATTTAGGGGTCGGACCCATCCTAAAACGTCCAGATGGTCTGACATTAGACCTAGGCAGGCGTCTTGTAGATTAAGATTTCTTTCTGGGAGGATATCAGTAGGTATAATTCGTATACTAAAACAAATAATCGGACAGTAGACATACTTTACTCTAAATGTAAAGGGACAGTTTCGTCCGTAGAAATGGAACGATTTCATGCACATCCAGAAAGGATACAATTTTGTTCCTAAAACTAGACAAATTGTCTGAGGCTTTACGATTTTGTCCAATTTAAGGAACAAATTGTATCCTTTCGGGGTGTGAACGAATCCGATCCATTTCTACGGACAAAATTGTCCCTTTACATTAAGGGGTATACATTTGAACGTATGTTATCGTACAGGACAGATATTCCACAGGGTGCTGCGGGCGCTGCACTTGGAAAAGAGAATGTAGATAGACATCTGCCAGGAATTTAAATATTTTAAGTCTATTATTCTTTCATTTAATTCTATACATTTTAGTCCGTTTACCTGTACTGTGCTGAACCGGTAACAGACTAAAAGCAACATTATAGAAAATTGACACTTCTGCAGAAAAAATAAAACAAAATATATAAATTTTATCCCTGTGCTTCACTCCTTCCTCATAATTTTAAGACGCCTAAGTTTGTTCGTTTTCCGGCCTAAAGGTGCCCCCACAATGAACAGTAGATCAACCGGAAAGCAGATCCACCTGTAGGGCAATTGCACCATAGGACCCCGAAGCCGTGCCAAGCGACACGCCAAGTGGCGAGACGTTTCGGCGAAGGGTGTGGAGGGGGTAGAGCCGGGAGCCGGGCGCTCATTGGTCGGTGGCTCTTTTACGAAAACCCCCACTCTTGGTGTGTATATTTATTCGCACGCAAGTAACAAAGTCCAGGGAGGAAGCAGAACGTGGCTGGCCTTTTACACCTGCTATGCCGGTGGTGGATTTAAGCCTCCATTATGAAAAGATCGTAACTGCATGTGTAGAGATCCAGCAGCAAAGTTGTTGATAATCAATATAACACAGTGTTAAGGACAAGCACTGCAATTTGAGTACATTTAAATTGTGGTAAAGACAACAGTATTCAACCACAATGCGGATTCGCAGACCTAAGTGCACCTTAAAATTCAAACTCGAATGCACCTTAACGACGACAAGAGTGCAGAGACAACTCCACTTAACGACTATAAGTGACACTGCATTGTCTGAGTACACTCTTTAACTCAACATAAGCAACGCTCTTGAACTATAGATCGATCTGAACACTGATTGGTTAACCAAAAAAAAGTATATTGCGACAGCAAAGAAAACACAGTACAACTACAGTTTCAAACACAGTTCGTAACAGTTTGCGATTCAGCCGGACTTGCAGTTTTGGTCGCATTAATGCACAGTAGAGTGGGTCGTAAAGGATAGACCATTTCACCTGAGCGCTTTTCGACATATCGAAGAACAAAAATACCGGAAGTCAGGCAGTTTATGGAACGTTCTTGGCCATTGAGCACGTTACATTTGTGCCGTAAGAATAAAATGTTGACTAAATTTAGATCGGAGAAGAGTAAATTGTGAGTTACAATGACGTCAAACCTCTATTATAAGTGACACATAACCCTGACTTCCGGTATTTTTGTTCTTCGAAATATTGAACCGCACTCGGGTGAAATGGTGTATTTTAGAAATTGTAAACGTAATATTGCGGAAAAGTTGCCATGCCCGATGATAAATTCAACGCATTTTTATCTTATGAGATCGGATAATATTTTCCGATCCCACAGAGCGTCTAAAGTTTTGCATGGTTCTCTTATAGGGGAAAGGCTCAAAAAGTGAAATTTTTCTGACTTTTAGGCTTTCCAGCGAACATTTTTCGAAAATGAATCTCAGAAATGCAATCTACGCAAAAAAATGCATCTAGTGATGTGCTACATTTTTGACACTTGACTGAAGCGTTCGGAGTGATTCAGGTGCCACTTTAACTTAACACTTACACAAAAATGGCTTTGCTGGCCTAAATTTGCACAACCGACAACCCTTCAGTCAAATTTTAAGTGTAGCACATCACTCGACGCGTTTTTTTGTGTTTTTTTTGCGTAGATTGTATCTCTGCGATTCGTGTTAGAAAAATGTTCGCTGGCAAGCTAAAAATCAGAAATTTCACTATTTGAGCATTTTCTCCATAAGAGAACCATGCAAAACTTTAAACGCTCTGCGAAATCGGAAAATATTATCCGATCTCGTAAAATAAAATTGCGCTGAATTTGTCATCGGGCATAGCAACTTTTCTCAATATAACGTTTTCAATAATTTCTAAAATCCTTTTTCTACGACCAACTCTAATGCACAGTTTACGTCCTCTTTGTATTGCAGTCTTAAAGTATAGTTCGACCGCTACAGTCAAACTGTAGATCATTCCACCCTGTACTGCCGGAAATATCACGACCGGAATTTTCACCTGGGCTATTCTAACAAAAACGAAGGAAATTAGCAAGAGGAAATGCGGGGGGAAAGTGATGAAAGGGCGGAAGGGGTGGGGGTAGTAATTTAATTTGCACAACCGCTAGAATCAATGTGAGGTGTTCCGCACATTTTGGTGATAAAGCGAAGTCTTTAGAGTCTTTAGCTCAACGCGTTGTCAAGAAACGCACGATACCAAATTCAAGATTTCAGAGGGGGATGGGGGTCGGAGTCACTTAGCCCCCCACATCTAGAAATGAACAGTAGGTTTAAAAGTACAAGTGTGGAAAACTTAACTCCCTAGCTGAAAGTGCTAATTTGCGGGCAGAATCGGTCGTTTGCCTCCCAGCTATAACTTTTTGCTCGCATGCTGAGGGGCCGTCAACCATAATATTTTGTTCGTACAGCCGGCTGATATTACACCGATATAACATCAATATTTACTCATTATTATTGGCGTTAATGCAAAAATGCAATATCGCTATTGCCATCGAACCGTG